CTTGTTTTGAAAATGATTATGTCAATGATGATTGAATTAATCTTCGAATAATTAAGAAAGCATTGTTGTTCATTTTGTTTCTTATTCCATGTAAGAATGAATATAAGAATCAGAGTGTGGTAATTGATCTTTGAGCCTCATGAGTCACTACAAAAATTTTGCTGAAATTTAAATAACTTATATCCTCACTGAATAAACAAATAAACATATTATAATCATTGATCAATGCGTGGTTAGATGAACGCGAAGAGATAAAGCTAAGATGTCTCCTAATCCCTAAACCTAACTTATAAATACACTTGTCATATTAAAATATAACAAAGGAACGGTCGAAACTCTAAAGGTACATAACATATCTTTAGAACTAATTTAAGCTAATTAAGTACATTATTAAAGAATGTTTATGTCAAGTAGATGTCGCTAATTGCTTATGCCAAGTGCCAATTGCTAAGCTATATAGTAACAATTAGTATATAACTATGCCAAGAATGTTTTAGCAAAAAAACTAAGGCAATATTCTGTCGGCTATATCCATGCAAGCAACAAATAATATAGCATTAAGTTTTATCGGATTATTATTTAGTTTACAATGGATACCTTATCTTATGCGCCAATAATTCGGTACTATAAGATTCCTTTCAATATTTTTATCTTACACGTTAGTTAGTAAGTTAGAAAACACACAGATATGCAATAATCGAACCTCTTTTCACATAAGTTTATATGAAAATCTCTGAATTAAATAAAACTTGCAGATGCAGTAACCACAAGTTACCATCATAGCCGACCAGGACCGACTCGAATTATCATGAAGTGTTTATTGCCAATCACCACAACTTGTTATTTATTGCCAATCACCCAAATATTAATCTCGATTCCGATTTATATACTTAGCAATATCATCAATTATTGGTGTATCGTAAATGATATGATTACATTATAATTCGGTATTAATCAAATGTTTAAAGAAGAAGCAATTGATATTTTTCTTGTATCTATGATCAACTATTGATAACATCGCGTTTATAACGTAAATCGTTTTAATACTACTAGATCACCACACATTTGGTGGATCTCTCATCTTAATGATTTTAATCATGTTAAAGTTAGGTTAAAGTTTTGTGTAATTGCTAGCAAATAAATGATTTTTAAAAAAATTCTATTATGGATACATCATACATCCAACAAAGCCTTCTGTTACAAAATAGAGAAACCAAACATCTCTCTATTATTTTATTACATAACAGGGTTCACTGAACGAGAACATAGCTTCCTTTCACTAATCTCCTCATTAAAAACCTTAAACACAAACTTAAACAATAATTAATCCAAAAAGAGCTTCTTCTTTAAATTAATCATCATTTCACTGCTTGTTGTTCAAAAGAGCTGCTCGTAGCTCAGCCGGGTCAATCTCGTTAGAACCGGTTTCCGGTCTGTAATAACCGGTTTTGGGATCAGGAATCCAAGAAATCTTCTTGTTCGATTCTTCCACTCCCTTTTTCTTCATCACAGCCGAAACAACAGCTCCTCCACTTTTTCCACCGCTCGAAACGCTCCCTTGAGCCACCGTCGCAGCAAAACCGCGTCTGTTAAAAACAAAAAACGACACCGTTTAGAAAAACAGAGCATAAACGAATAAACAGAGCATAGCAATAAAACAGAGAAAGAGAGTTTTACCGGAAGATTGCATTGGAGAGTTCTTGAGAGACGAAAGCAGAGACGATCTTAACGTTAGAGAGGGAACGAGCCATTTTTAT